TACATATAAATTACATCTAAGACTGTTTTCGTAAAATCAATATTTACTTACCCATTTTTCAGACTTAAGACTGTAAATAGAATTGTATTAATATTGGTGTAGTCAAAAATATTGGTTTTCCTTTTTTTTTTTTTTTTGTTTATAATTAAAAATGTATAAATAAGAAAACGGTAAAATATTTTTTTTTTTTTCAATTTAATAAAAACAAACGTAATGAAAAGCGAAAGAAATAAAAATGTTGATAGTGATTAATAAATTCAACTTAATTTTTACAATTTACTAAAATATTAGTTCAATATTGTATTGCTAGCCCTTAGTCTGAAAAATGGGAAGGAAAATATTAAACAATATTATAAATATAATCAATATTTATTGATTAGACATAATATTTACGTATGAATAAAAAATATTTAGACATAATATAACATTATACAAAATATTCCCGGGCCTCAATTTACATAGTATATGACTATGACTTTTTTTCGGGACGCAATTTACCGATTTCGATTGGAAAACATCTAAAAGACCTAAAAAAAAAAAAAATAAAAACACAATCATATATTGGAAATATTGTAGCAGTCACATTTAATTGTTGTTTTTTTTTTCGTTCATATCAATTTGGCGTATTGAACCACCAGAGATTTTTTAATAATTGAAAAATACTGATATCTAATCTCATTATAACACACAATCAGATACGACAAGGTATTTACAATTGCGTATTAAAATAAATATATGTTTTACATTTTAAATTTAGACGCTCTAATATTATTGGAACTCTACAGGTAATTACTGTTTTATGGGATACATTTTATTTAAAAAAGTACACGATTGCATTTTAAAAAAAAAAAATGCATTTATATGCATACAAAATCATAAATAATATGCAATTCTTGAAAAAAATTACCAAAATATGCAAAAGAGAAAATAACTTAAACATAAACTCACCAACCTACGGAACATATTTTTAACTCACCTAGCTATAAATAGAAGATACAGACAAAATAAGCAATTCCTTTAACAATGAATATAATGTATGCTTGGAACGATACCGAACGAGAAATTTGGTCACACCCATGAACAAATTTTCAACTAAATTTTTAACTCGATAACTATAATATCGTTAAAATGGCAGCGATGATCATAAAAATACAATATTTCTACAAATAAGTGCCTAAGCATAAAACCATTAACTTTTCGTACAGGGCGCACTGGCGTGATGTCCTCTTATATTAATATAATATGTGTTTTTTTTTTTTAATCCTTTAAAATGACACTTGACTCGACTACGGTATTACGATTGAAAACTATTGTTTTCCCCGATTTGTGAATAACAATACGAGTTTTACGTGTGTACAATAATTTTAATTGTACACTTTACTGGGTCACGCGAATCGCAGTTAACAATGTACATTATTTTAAAAGCGTATGCATTTTGTTTTTAATAACGAATCGTGCCATGTGTTGCATATAAAATATTATTTTATTATATAAGTATAGTTTTTTATACGAATTATACTTGAATATATACCGCGGTTAGTCATAAAGTTTTTCAATTTCCTCCGCTAAAATAGACATTATATTTTTATATGCTTGTCTTTTTTTTTTCTATACCGATCTTGTTATTTTCAATGGTTAGCGAGAAAAACTTTACGTGTATAACAACTTTACTTGTGCATCGACGATAACATTTTTCACTTGAAAAATCAAGAAAACTTGTAGGTACTTGCTATAGGTATGGCCCAACTACTCATTGGCGGTCAGTTTATTTTAATTAAAAACTTGTACCTAAAAGTTATTAGAAAGCATATTTGTATTTAAATTGAAAATAAATTAGGATAAACTGAAATTTAGTGATCATTTATCATTAAACAACCAGTGTAGGGGTTTGGGGGTAATAATACCCTTCTCCGAAATTGAATATTTTTAACAAATTCTATACCATTGATATAAATAGTAATACTATTTACTGTACTATACTGTTTACCTGTTTACGTATATTACCATAATTAATACCTTAATAACATGAAAATAATTAATATTTGAATAATTCATTTTTTTGTAATTTTGAATACGTGTAAATTACATCGTGCACGTCACCTGTTTACATGTGCAGATAGGTCTAACGGGAAGCCGGAAATTTCCGAATGGGCATGCTTTGGTTAAGTTAGGGTCCTTAGATTACTCTTGGTAGTGATGTGCATAACTGAATGAAAACTATCAAATAATCAGTTTATCTCTGTGATGAATCCAGGTACATTAATTTATGTAAATAATATAAAAGCCTTAAAAACCTTAAGTGTCTTATAAAATATATTTAGACACTAAAAAGATATGTTGATAAGTAAAAAAAAAAGGTATCAGTATTTTCTTGTAGGGGTCCTTTTCAAAATTTCCCGGTCGGCCAAAAAATCTCTACCCGTTGCCTGTTTATTAATTTATTGTCCCACAAATCTGCCCAGAAATTTGTTTAAAATTCTTAATGCCTCTCCTCCGAAATAGTATCCTGGTTGTATCACTGCCTTTTATTGCAGACAACAATAATTAATAAAATTTGAAAGTATTTAAATTTAATAAGTATAAATACTAAAAGTAAATAAAAAAAACTCATATATTGAACGATAAGTGAGTTACTTTTGTACATGGAAAGTTGGGAAGATAAGATACACATGGTAATTTAATGTATATCTGTAAGCAACGATAAATCATTGCTAACGAAACACCGATTCTGAACGGAGTTCAATAGATAATGTTGCTTTGTCAGCAATATGTATGTCATATTATTATTGTAAAATGATTACAACAATGTGCATTTCCATGACAACGATTATTTAAATAATGGAAACATAAAAATAACAAAAAGTAAATAAAAACGGTTGTCAATGACAACCTTATTTTTAATCTGTCAATCTTCTTTAACCTAAAGAACTAGGTTTTCCTCATTATCTCAAATATTAATAAAAATTTTAAAAGATACTTCTTTAAAGTACCACCCAGAGAACATTTCCTTTCAGAAAATATGCTCAACTTGACAATCGGAGTAGGCTTTCTGGGAGAAAAAGTGTTCACATAAAAAAAAAATAGAAAAAAAATCATTGTAAAACCAATACATTCCTCGCTATCTAAAAAAGGCTTTATAACGATTATTGAAATTTTATTGAAATGCTGAATATTATTATTATTATTGCTATTTTGATGATTTTAATTATTTTTGTTTTATTAATTATAATTAATATGCTGATTATTCTAGTTACTTTTTTAAACATTATTATTAAGCTGATTTTTTGTGTTATTCTTATTATGATTATGCTTATTATTACTATGATTATTATTATTATTTTTTTTTTTTATTGTGATGCTGATCAATCATGCTGATTATAATGATCATTACCATGACCATGACCATAATCATGAACATAATAATAATGATTATTATGGTGCTCATTATTATAATAATTATGATTATAATCATTATTAATATGAGAATTATAATTAGATTTTGTTTATTAATATTATTATTATTATGCTTACTATTGTCATTATTATTGAGATACTTATTATTATAATAACTATTAGTATTATCATTATTGGTGATGGGTAAGATATAAGATATTTTAAACGGAACAATCAAAGAATATTATAATATGATAGATTTTTCGATGAAAGCTCAAATCAATTTTTTTATTTTGTAATTTTGTATTTTGTATCTGTAATTATAATACTATAGACACGTCGCACGTGGAACGATTCTTAAATCTAGAATTCTATCGAATTGATAAATGTGGTTTGAAAAAAAACAAAACAAAACAAATGTAAAAAACGTAGCCAAAAGTATCGAATTCAACAAAATATTATTAGTTTAGACGTGTTTGATTTTTGTATATAAAATATCAATTCAGATAAGTCCATTTTAACTGTATCTCTGTATATAACAATCGGACTTATCTTGCATACGATTGAATGACGGAAAAAACTCGATTTCAAAATGTCAAAAAATGATTTTCTGAAAAATAATTAACTTGCCTGGTTATTTCAGGGGACTCCCTTGATTTACGAATTTTCACGGCGTTTAACAATCATATAAACGAATTCGATGAAGTGTACTCTCGTGTGTAATAATATTAATATTACGATGAATGCGCTTCAATTAATAATATTCTATTCAGTATTCTGTATACGCGAGTGAAATTCACTATTATGATTTCGCGTTATAATTGAACTCGTTAAAATTTACAAACTATAATTATTATTATACGACTATACACACGATCTTCAACAATGTACAGCCGAATGTAAACATAACTAACAATACTGTTCTATTTGACGTTTATAATATTTTAATGCGATAATATGACGATTGTATATAAATAATTTTCCTGTATAATTTATCGTTCGTATAAATTATGCATACAGAATTTGCACGTGTTTCGTTGGTCTTTATTATTTCCGTATAATTGTGTAAAAATAATAATAATTATAACAACGTAATAAAAACCGTACGCAACGCGGGTGGGCCTAGGGCCGAATTAAGCCCAAGTATAGCCCTGAGCATATATTTTTTTAAAGTCTACTGTAAAAATAAACACTTTTTTCGTGATACATCTAGATTCTGCGCTATATATTTTAAGTTTTATGTGGTCAGATTGTAATTTATTTTTTTTTTTTTTTTTGGATGGTTGAGAGCTTTTTTTGTATCATTATTGCAGTCTTGCAGTCGTCGATTCACCACGGTACGGTTTTTCTATTTTTGGAACGAACGGATTTTTCTATTGTGAGGTTGGCTGCCTTAATAATTTTATTTGCAAATTTATTAATCATTTCATCGATAAGATTTTGGTTTATATTTTGTAGTTGAAAGATTATCTAGTATACTTTCTGTTAAATACTGGTCTATGAGGTTCAAAAATGATTCCCAATTTGGGGGTTTCCATTTATTTATTAAGTCTGTCGTAAGTGTTTAGTGAAAGATTTGGATCTGTATAGGCCAATGATCGCTACTGTTATACGCCTGTAGGATGTTCCATTCGATGTTTGAGCTTACCAGGTCTATGGCCGCTAAGTTTCCGTTGATATTGTTCTGCCGGGCGGGGCTGCCGTCGTTTAAGAGTAAGTATTAAGTTTGAATCTTCTTTACTATTGTTTTGCCTCTTCTGTCTGTGTATGACGATCCCCATTATGGGTTTTGACTTTCGGCTGTTGAAATCGCCAACTATAATGAAGGATTTGGGGAGTTGGAGTATAATATAAGTTAGATCTTTTAGGCTGAAATCAGTGCAGGAAGATATTAAGTCGCATACACATATTTGCATTTGGAAGTTAGCTGTTATAGCAACAGCTTCGTGATGTGTTTGTATATTATTGGATGGCTTCGAATGTTGTTTTTTATGAATGTTGCTAGGTATTCAGAGTAGTTTTTTAAATGACATATTTGTCCTATTTTTAAGTTGGTTTCATGGAGGCACGGTATATTTTATAAATACAGAACAAAAACAGTTATTTTATTAATTAACAATTCTATTGAGTTTTGGTTCAGTGCAAACTAAATCTACCGTTATCTAAAAGAAATATTTATTAGTATAATCAATGGTATAATACTTGTTTACTTTTAATTAAAATTTAAAAAATGAAGTACTATATTTTAATTTTTTCAAAAATAAGGCAAACATCTTTATCAGTATTGCTTCGTATTCATGTATCGTATTTGCATGACAAATCTATTAGTTTTTTTAAACTTATTCTGTGTCTAATCGGCTTTAAGTAAGTATCTACGGACTTTTTGTAATACTTATCATGCAAAATCATAAAAATGTACATCAAAAAAGTGCCTAAGACAAAATATAAAACATAATGTGAAATTCGAATTACTAGAAATATATATTGTAATATAATATAATGTAATATAATTTATATAAGTCTGCGTGCCGTGACCTCACTGAGATATCTCACCATCTTTCTCTTATAGATCAGGACGATCCATTCGTGGGCTACCCGTCACATTTACGGCATAACCTCTGTATAATATAATAATCATAATATAGTAGATTAATGCAATTTGCTTTTAACGATAAACTGATAAAATGTAATCAGGGACAGCAAATTAAAATTGCAAACCACTTACGCTCGTTTATTAAATTGTATATTTTGTTTGGTTTAACTATTTGATTTGAATTGCATGGCCAAGTTTACTGAAATAACTTAATTACTATACAAACGTTTACATTTTATCTATATATGGTTGGTATTTGTTGAATTTCGAATTTTAAATGTGAATTTATTAAATTATTTTTACTTAAGATAAAAGTAGTGAATATATTGTACACCTTATAAAATTATATTCACAGTACCTAGATTGCTAATTAATAAGTGAAAAAAAAAATCGAATAGTGTGTAATCTTATTCTAATAATATGTATTATCATTTTAATCATTTTTAGTACCTGTGACGAATGTGACATATATATATATGTATCATATTAAATACAAAATGGCCCTAGTCAGGTACGCCTTTGTCTGCTAACTAACTTTGTCAGCTAACGAAGGATGCGGGAATCACTTCTCACAAAGGTATGACGGGCAACAAGAAAAAATGGAAAAACATCTGTTGTAAATAGATTTGTTATAATACATCAACCTTCGGTTGGGTTAAAAACAAATAACCATTTCAATAATAACTGTATATACACGCAAGTAACGCTGACACAATGCGTTATAATAATTTTTATTTTCGGGGATAATTTAAAGAAAACAGCGCAAATCAAATAGTAAAACCAAACCATAATTATTGCTACGCTCAAAATCTAACCAAAAAATAAAAATAAACGGAAATTTCACAATATTTTTATACGACAGATGACGCTTGCAATACACGGTTATAGGAGCGGATTGCGCGCGTTTTAATGACGTAGGTATAAATGTATAATACATAATATTGTGATATTATATTATGTACATAAGCATTATAACTATTATACCGTCGTGAACTCCTCGTCGTCGTCGTCGACGTGTACTTGAAGTGTATAATATATTATAATATTATAAAATACACCGCGATAAAAAGTTCGAGTGCTGTTCTACTTCTATTATTATTATAAGTATAATGCGTACCATCGGAAAAATTAACGGTCAAACACTATACGGGTACATCAGATACGTCGTGACGATACTCGAAATTCATATTATACGTTCGGCATTGTATACTTGTGTGTACACGTTACAAAATATTTCGTGAAAATCGGTTCGTCAAGTAGGTATATAATAAAATGTGTGTAGGTATTTGGTTAGGTTAGGTGTTGTAATATAGATAATAGATATCCACGAGAATTCAGGAGCGGGAAGTTAAAACTTTTCTCTCTCTCTCTCTCTCTCTCTCTCTCTGATCTCTGATTATCTACAGCTAGACTTTTTTTTTTTCGTAGGATGCGTTCATCGCCTTTATGCGTTTTCGCAAAATTTAAAAATATTACATTTGAATCGATTCCTGATTTTTATTTTTAAAATTCTTAACGTGTACGAAAACGCTCGTATCTCCCAATTTATCAAGACCTTTGACCTTTCGAAAAATTGAAAACTATAAGTAAAACGTATAGAAGTTTAAGTTTCGAAATCGATCGCACTTTATTCCGATTACTGCCGAAATATCTGAATTAAAAACAATCTTATACGAAATATTCAGATTTCTACTTCACGATACATTATATTATTATCTACAGTGTGCCGTACAAATTGAACTAGATAATATGTTAACAACGATAAAACAAAAATTCGATTGGTATACCTTACATAAGTATGTAATTTTTATTTCTTTTTACAATAAGATCGAAAACCTCGAGGCCCTTAAACAAGACTATTAGTAATATTATCTCGGACAACAAACTGTGGGACCACGAGGAATGCCGAATTTACCTTTTTTACGGCTATAGACACGAAAACTTTGCCACCCCTATAATAGGTAAACAAGTTATAATACCCTCCCAAAATAATCCACTTACCTATAATTCCGAGCTCTACCAAATAATTTTATTATTATTTAAGAAATACAATAATTTGAATTTGATATCAATACCTTGGTTTGGTTCTATGATTATAATTTTATAAAAATTACACAAAGTAAAATAATAATTTTCGTTAGACGTTGTCGATTTAGTCTTAAGTTCAATTATATAGTTGTTTTTAATCTTCAAAAACAGGTATTATTTAACAGAGAAAATCGGAATCACACCTAGTTGTAACATAATTATTTTTTTCGTTGATTTCTTTTTTTTGTTGATGTTACAATATAAAAATTAAAAATATGGAAAAAAAATTGTTGGACATATTTTATTTTATTTTTATCTTGTGAAATGCTTTTTTTCAGAATAAAAAAGAGAATATAATACACGTGTACTTACATGAGCTAAGAAACAAGACGACATTTTTGAGAGTAATTGCAGTTGACGATTTGACGGCCGAATAAAAAAACGTTCCACAATGAAAAATTACACGATTGAAAAATATAAAAAATAAAATTCAGTTTCGGGAAAATAAACATTGTAGTAACCATAGATTTTGAAAGCGTTGTATCGCGTAACAATGTTTACAAACAAATACTCAAGTCCGTTATAAATTGTATAATTTGTTTTGATATTTATTTTATTGTTTATACTCGTAACCAACGATAACACGTTGCTAACGAAAAACGATTCGGAGCGAAGTGCGGTTCGGTTATACATATTTTGAAAGCCCGTAATATTTAAGATTTTCGTCGAAATTTGTTTTTATAAAAAAGAAAAAAAATACTATATTACACTTGTGATAAATCTGCTGTTAAATACTCAAGCATATTTCTTTGGTCAAATAATTTTATTAACAGAGTACATTTTACAGATTTCTCTCTACGTTTTTTTGCGGTTTGCTCATTTATTATAAAACTACTTGGAAAATCATAAAATAAATTACTTGCTTACCAACTATATTAAAACTACAATAAAACAGGTGTCTTAGTGTCTTAACAATTTTCTATTGGAGCAATATTTTTGGTAGAAAGCACATGCCGTACAGATTTAAAATAAAGTACGCCGTAAATTTATTCGTTATTCATTTTTCGTTTTTTCGGGTTTTCTTAATTATTACGAAAACTACTTGGATGATCCGCTACGCTCCAGTCTAAAACATTATATTTGTATTATTTTAAACTGTTTGTAAAAATCACAAACATTGTTTAAGTTAACTATCAATATAAAAACTAAATTATAAATAATTATCAATAATAAAATAGGAATCTCTAATTGTCGTGGAAAAGAAAAAATCTAAAAAAAAAAAAATATAGCTGATAGGTGTACCACTATTATAAGTAGGAACTTGGGAAAGTAGAATATATATAAAGTCATTAAGTTTGATATTGCACGCGTCGATGAATCATTGCTAACAAAGTAAGAATTTGGGCGAAGTTCGATTAAACATGTTTTGAAATACCTACCGTGATTATTATTAGCTTCGTCAAAATTTGAACTTAAAATGATTAAAAACAAAACTACTTGATGCGCCTCTTTTGCCGAATGTAATTTATGATAAACCTCGTGATAAATTTTCAAACATTTTGGCTGGACCAAACAAATTTTGAAAATAAAAAAAAAAACTAAACAACTCAAAAATGGCATGTACCTATTATGAATTATTCAACAATCTACAGGATACAATGAAAATTTTAACACGTCTCTAAAATGATAGTATTGCGTAAATATTCTAAGGCTTTACAATTATTTTTAACCAAATTTATCAAAATAAATATAATAAAACCATTATTGCCGTACATTGTTCAGTTTTCAACTACCTATATTACATTGATTACTCAGGATTAAAATTTGTCTCTATTCATCGTATAAGCATTTCGATATGACAATAAATTTTCGTAAATAATAGGTTTTCAATAATAAAAATGAAAACTATTTTGAATTATGCGGTTTGTAGAGTTAAGTTTTTCGCGATTTTATGTATTCGTCATATTTAAAAACGCATCAAAAAACTAGAGCAAAACATATGCGTATATGTACCAAATCGTTCTGCACCATTAGATCTATTACACATGTATGTATACACAATATTATATTTGAAATTATTTATGTTTTCCCATAAAAACAATATGTTTATTATGTTTATCACATTTTTTTCTTCTTTTACAAACTTTGGTCACATTGCAC